TCGTATCCCACCCAAAACGCGTCTTACTAGAGAAGGTATCCACACCCTTATAAGGAGTGCTTCGTTCTCCTTCCCAACCGATGTGGGACGAGTGACACACCCGCATCGCGGCTGTTACATATAACATGTGTATGAATGTAATTGGTCTATTGTAAAATAGACGGACACAACTTTTGTATGTATTTATTTATGTTCCAGAAATAATTTCGAATAGTTTGAAATGGTTAATGACGAGGGTATATTACGTTTATTTTATTGGTTCATAGTTTTTTGCTTTTGATAGGTTGATATTGTTGGTCCTGAAAGGGATGACAATAAACTGAAAGTAATTGTAGAAAGGGGAGGGGGTTGAATACAATTACACATACTTTATTTTAACTTTTAAATTCTTATTGATGAATATCAAGAATTAACATATAGAGATACAATAAAGATTGTTGCGGAAGAGAGAAAATGATAACCTAACCTAAACAATCTTACAGAGAGAAGAACTTACAAAAACAACACAGAAAGTACTTGCAAGGAAATGACGAACACACTAGGTTTTTCTTCACACACATGAGAGTAAAAAACTATAAGAGAAGAGCCGATTGCTTGAGAATGCACTTGGAAATCTTTCAAAGGAAGTCACTCTGCATGGGAGATGCATACTGCCTTTTATACTACCTTCAGCATTGAATGCATGGGAACACTTGTCACTGAGGATAAGAAGGCAAGGGTTGACTTGACCATTGTCGATATCTTATTTTCAGCGTACACAACATGCATACAACAATGTTCATGCAGAGACAAACTTTTGCAGAGATATGGTCAGTTTGTAGGAAGATCTTATTTGGATGGATTAGTAGTTTCAAACAGCTACACACAAATCTTCGATGCATAAAGACCTTTCTTCAATCGGCTTGTAGCTTCAAAATATTTTCAATCTTCATATCAACTACTCGGGAGTCTTGGTGTGTAAATTAGACTATTGATCCACAGTACTGCATCGGTGACCTTCTGTCTTCGCATCGGCTAATCTTCGATTTTACCAGTGACTTTAAGTTTGTACCAAGACACCAATAAATTAAGAAATAAATAACTACTAAGTGTGGATCAGATAGATGAACAGATTAGTGGATCATCATCAAATCAATAGGTGACCCAACAGATACATTAAGTGAGAAATGTATATTCTTTTGGTTTTATAAATGTAACGATTTAGTCGTCGTTCAAAAAGAATAACAGGGACTTAATTGTTAAAACTATGAAAATCTATTTATTTTATCAAATTAACCGGTTTTATACATAACAAATTTTGTTAACTTTTAGAAAATTCAAAAAAAAATTAACTTCAAAATTATCTATAAATTTAATTGTTCAAAAGATGAAAATTGTAATTTATTGTATTTTTGTTCATATAATTTATAATTTATTGTTGATTCAGTCCCTATTATTTATAATTTTTTACCCTTTTAGTCCCTTGTACTAAAAAGTATAAATTATGATAGAGATAAAAAATAACAATAAATTATAAACTCAGAGAACGAAAATCAGAATTTCTAAGCTATACAATCAAAAACCAAAATTATTAACAAACCAGGGGATTAAATCCTAATTAATTTACTCTAAAGAAAATTTTGAGAATATGGTAGATAAAGGAAATTTACACAAATAGTCATTTTACAAAATTAATTTCACGTTTTAGTTATTTTAAGAACCTTTTGTTCAAATAGCCAATGCTTACACTTAAACTTAAAAGGTGATTCCTCTGTGAAGTTTCAATTTAATAAAAGAAAATTAAACTTTATACTCTTATAATTAGTTATTTAATTTACTTAATATATCTTACTTTTTCATTTTTAATTTTACATCTTTATCATATTGACACATATAATCGTATGTTAATTAAAATACATGAAAAAAATACGTCTTTTGTACAAATTACACTATTATAATCGTCTCGTCAATATATTTAAAATAAGTTCTATTTTGAATATTTTTAAATTTAATCTTGTATTATTAAATATTATAAAGCTTACGAATTTTAGTTAATGTGATGGTTGATTGTATTTAATGAGATAAAAATTGTGATGGTTTATTGTGTTGAAGGGTTAAGGGTTGTGAGAGTAGAATATATGAGAAGAGAAATGAAAGAGAATGTGTGAAAATTATAAAGTAGGAGATTGATATTTATAGTAAAATTGGTATTACAAAAAAAAAAAAAAAATACATAAGGCTGGATCGCCCCCGGGGGCGATGGGATGACGTGGCTCGCCCCCAGGGGTGGATCACCCCCCAAGGGCGATTTGAGTGGGTATTTTCACAATTCCTCCAAAAAATGGTTATTTTGTTAGAGTATGTTGTATAAATTGGTTAATTTGATGATTTTTCTTTTAGTTGATACGATTATAAATGTTAATATAATAAAGATTTAATTTAAAAAAAAAAAATTATGTATGAAGTTTTATTGCAAACTTTGAGTGCTTAAGAAAAATAGTTTTTAAAAAGTGAAATCGAATATTTTCTTTATTAACTTGGATATCTGACCTGCTTTGCGAGTCGACTAATCCTAAAACGATCACCTATTTTGTAGATAGTTTGGAATCATCGTATTTAAACCTCCATAACTACAAGAGAATTTTATTTCTCATTAAATTTAAACCTGTAACCTCCTAATAATTCTGAACTTTGAAACCAAGTTCAAACTCATCAGATTTAAATCGAATATTTTTATGAATTTGCGGATGACATATAATAATGTTTGTATACGGAAAAGGGTCAAATGAGTCGTTGTGGGCCTCCATTCCTGTGTGGAAGCCGTGTGGAACCCACCGTCCTTTACCTTTCCAGATCATACTCCCTCCACCCTACCAAACACACATTCGGCGTCTTTGCACAATTTCACCTTCATCTTCAACCTCACACAAATCATAATAACAATGGACAAGGTTAAGTTGATGTGCAGTTATGGCGGAAGGATTCACCCACGCCCTCACGACCTTCAACTCTCCTACTTCGGCGGCCACACCAAAATCTTAACCGTCAACCGCGACATCAACTTCTCCAACCTCTTCTCCAAGTTACAGGATCTCTCCGAAAGCAATTTCCAGATTCAGATCAAGTATAAGTTGCCTGGAGGACAACATCTCGAACCTTTGATCTCCGTTTTTGACGACGATGATGTCCATCACATGATGTTCGAATACGATCTTCTCCGACGAGTTTCCACTAAACCGGCGAGGTTCCGTTTGTTCCTATTTTTTCCGGAGACGGCGAAGCCTATGGCTACCGCGGCGTGGTCATTGAATCCGGATTTCTTGTTCGGATTCGATAAAGAATATTCGTTTAATTATACGGCGACAGTGCCGGTGGAGCCCTTGGAGATTTCCGAAAATCCGGATGCTGTACCCGAGAACGTCATCATCGGTGATGGAGCTCCGAATTATGATCCGGGAGTTTTTATGCGTGACAGCTACGTTTATCCATTGGCGCTTGGTTACCAGGAACCGGTAAATGCCGGTGGATGCTTCCAGGCTGGATTGTACAACAGGTATAGAGACACCGGAGGGAAATGAGGTGGGTTATGAATGCATCCAACGGTGAAGATCACATCCACGTCAAAACATGGAATTTTGAGTGATGGTGGGTTTGTTCCTTAATTTGTTGTTTTCCTATTTTGGTGTTTATGAGTTAATGAAGTGGGTGTTTAAGGAATGCCCCAAACATATCGATTATTACAATTAAAAACAATATCCAACCACTCCTCCATCCCATACACCAACTAATTTGTATAACTCAACCGTTTTAACTCAACTTAATCCAAATCGTCTAAGTTAATTTGGGTTGGTCAGGTTTATAACGTTTAACGTGTATCGTAATTAAAACCAATAATTTAAGAGGATTCAACAGATCACTGCATCATCTTAAAAACAACTGAAACCAATAAGTAGATAAACTAGAAATCCCTCGAGAATTGATTGGATTCGTCGTGTGGAGTTGGGAGTTCGTCGAATTCAAATCATTTCAAGAGAATTTGACCATTTGCATCCAATTTAATCAAACACCGCACATCCTATGTCCCTACCACGACCGTATTGTCGTTGTTCCGACCGCCACCAACCTCAATCCACCACCATGCAACTGTCGTCGTCAGAGCTGCCACCCACCAACATCTACCCCACCTGACCACCATGCCATCATTGTCGTCATCACAGCATCCATCATCGCCATCCTACCCTCTCACGGCCCCTCTACCGACCACCGTGGGGATTGGAGGCGGAGGAGTGGGGTGGTAGAGGAGCCGTGATGGAGTAGGGTGGTGGGTACCGCTACTGTTGTCGTCACAATTGCCACCCCTCTTCCGCCCATCAATATCACCATTCTATAAATTTCGTCGACTCGTCGTCATAGCCTCCACCCACCGTCACTCTCCCGCTAAACATAGATGGACTTTCAATTGGAAGATTTCACTACAAATCCTACCAACCGAACATGTGGTTAAATTTCATTTCGATTATTTAAAAGTCAAATTCTTTTAATTGATTTCAATTCCATCAAATTCCATTTTGCAAACCAAATGCCCCTCCTAGTTTATTCGGGTTAGGTTGGTTTTCTTTGGGTCTAACCCAACTCTAACCCATTAACTATTAGTTGATGCTATTAATCAATCAAGTTGTATATTATTTTGGGTTGTTTTTCAGATTGAGTTAGTTCGGTTTGCAAAAACGCACCCTAATTCTCTTTGCCATTTTAGATTTAAAAATTTATATGATCTCCAAAAAAAAATCATGATCAAACTTCTAAAATATTATTTAATAAAACGAAATTGAGAAAACCTTTTGGATATATACAATTGATTTATTGTCAATTATAAAAACCATCACATATCATGAAAACTTATTAAGAACGAGAATATTGCAATTTTTATAAACATTTCAGTTTCATGTTGGTTGGTCCCATACGAAATCTATCCCTTAATAATTATATTTGAGGAGGCGTTTCAGAGCTGGTTCAACAGCTGGGGCTAGTAGAAGGGTTCAAGGTCATTTCCTTGTAGGATTTGAACTTGAACCTGTTACATTATTTTGAGCAAAGTCGGATTGTTCTTCTACTAACTAAGTTACACGTCCGATGGCAAATTTTCACGGAATATTGTCAAAACTCAAGCGGTTTTTATGATTCTGATTCGTAGCTTTTTATCTTGATGGGGAACTTTAATTTTATTTTTCTTTAAGATCTTCTTTTGTACATTGGTTTTGGAATATATTCCGAAATTTGGAAGAATAATATACTTTTCTTGCTTAATACTTGTTTTTAAGCAATTTCTGCAGCCCTCAACCTTTCGTTTGGGTTTGACGCTCTTTATTCGTTTCACAAACGCTGTATTTTAAAATGTGGATTAAACATTATGTGTTGTGATCTGTATTCTTTATTCATAACTTTATTTTCAAACTAATTAATAGGTTGTATTTGATTTGGTTATCGAATAAATAAAATTATAATAAATTAAAATATAATTTATAATAAGAGTGATTTTATACAAAATTCTAATATTTTTGTGATATTTATTTGTTTATATACATTGTAAAAATAAAACATTTCGTGCATGAACTCTATATGATATTTCTTCATGTGACATTAAACAAAATATTTCATTTTACCGACATGTCTTTTTTAAATAGATATTTCAAAATTATTATAATTTTATTCAGAATTAGAGGTTGTTTTTTTATTTCTTAATAGTTTTATTAAAAGATAGCATCTGAATCGTTAAGAGGTGAATCTTGTTTGCAAAAAAAAAAATCTACATCTTAATGGTTCTAAAACCATCTGATTGATTTTGTATCTTCAGCCTCCCTTTAGCTATTCAACGTCCTAATTTCGTTGTAAGTAATTATCAAAGAATTATATTTCATTTTACACCGTATTATGAGAACATTTTAAATTATTCTGGATCGAACCATTTAACAAATGTGAAAAATTAGCGAAAATAAAAGAGAATGATAAAAAGGAGAAAAGAGAGAGAATAATCGAGAAAGGTGTGACTTTACCAATCATGAAATGGGTACCAATTTTCTTCAAATCACCCTTTTTCCTCTTTATTTATAATTCAACATAACCTTACCTTCCATCATTCCATCATCCCATCATCAATCTCTGCTCATCCGCCATGAACGACCCAAAATATGCTTATCCTTACCCTCCTGCTTCTCAAGGTTAGCATAGCAGTAGTAAATTGATCTCCATCCATTCATCATATATACAAACAACCAGTGTAACTGTAAATTCTGTAATCGTATGCAGGTGGAGCAGGATACTATCAAGGACCACCGGTGATGGCACCTCCACAATATCAATACGCCGCCGCACCACCTCCCAGAAGAGAACCTGGTTTCCTTGAAGGATGGTATATATATATATATATATATATGTATCTCGATCTCTATTACTGTTTTAATTTCATATTTAATTAATAATTTTGGTAATTAATTAATGTATAATTTGTGGTGCAGTCTGGCAGCTCTGTGTTGCTGTTGTCTTCTCGACGAGTGTTGCTGTGATCCCACCATCATCTTCTTCTAATATTACACAGATCAGATCAATTTCCACTCTCTTCTTAGTACTCCAATCCTATCTTCTCCTTCTTGTTTGTTTTTTTTTAGATTTTGTAAACCAACATGTATTATTAATTTGTGGCGTTCGTTAATCGATTGATGTTCGAAAAACCAGATAGATGCTATCGCTTTGTGGCGAGTAAATGTTGCTAAATTTGTAACGGGATTGGAGTTGGAGTTGGGGTTGTTCATCCCAACTCAAGATCGGATCGCCATGAAACCGGTTCGGGATTGCTTATTTGAAACAAACTTATGCTTTTCTAGAAAAGTCTTTATCAACTTACTATAAGTTAGAATGATTTAACTTATTTAAAAACTTTTTATTATGGGTTTGACACCGGTATGAGTTGTTTATCTAAACACTTAAAAATGCTTATTATCAAGATGTCATACCGGAAGAAGTCAATAAATTGTCTTTATAAACAATCCCAAACGCCCCATAATACAAAAAGCTAACCTAAAAATCTAAACCGTTTTCATATTTGAAAATAAGCATTTCTGCTAGGTGTATTATTTATTAAGGAGATGAATTAAATAAATCTATATTAAAATAAAATATTTCCGTGTTTTATGTGATTGTTGGATAGAAAAGACAACATGATCTGGGAGAAGAGATTTTTATTTGCTTTTTAACTAAACTAGTTTTTTGTCTCCTTTATTTTAGGGATCGTTTATCAAACGTTTATTTGATAAGTGTTTATTGGTTGACTTACTTAGAATTTTACCTGGTAAGAGCGATGACAAAAACTGAGAATCATACCTTGTAAATGAGAGCCACGACTCTTACACGGTTATCACTTAGTAGATAAACTATTTCATAATATATCATTTTGATTGATTAGAATTTTACCTAAAAGTGTAAACTATATTACCAATAAGCACGTCAATAAACAGTCCCTTAGTTTTGTTTAAAGTTATTTATAGATTCTACAAATGAACTTATGAAAATACACGGAACTCCTAATTACTCTCCAAAAATGTCCTAGAAGAAATAAAGTTATAACACACACACACACATATGTATATGTATATGTATATGTATATGTATATGTATATATGTATAAGGAGAAGGGTTCAAATGAGAAACCATGTAATTCACGAAAATGTGAGAACACTTGTAAACCAAATATTATGTGTTAGATCACATTTTAATAGGATTTGAGGGATTTTTCAAATTTAAATGAATATTAATTTTTTTCAAAAATAAGAAAGAAGTGGAGGGGCAAAACTGAAAATAAGAATATAAAACAAAATAACACGATCAGATTACATTACATCACGAAGTCGATGGTTTTAGGGAGAAAGAAGACAGTCGACTTATTTGGAGGCGTCGACGAAGAAGAGGAAGACGATTTCTAAGAGGTATGTGTTACGTATCACATCTTCATCATAGACACAATATATATCGATGACTCCCTTCTATATCACACGATTATCATAGTGTGAGTATCATACGATTAGAGCAAAATCAATAAGTTGTTACTCTGTTTAGGCATCATAGATTTGTCACGATGTAATAATTGTAAGGAGAAATCGAGAAATTAGACCCAAGTTAGTAAGGTATGATGACTTCCCTTCTTTATCACAAGATTATCACAATTGTTACCCTGTTTGGGCATTACAGATCTATCACAATGTAATTATCATAAGGAAAAAAAGATAAATCTTTACCCTATCACACATTTATCATAAGGAAAGAGGTAATCATACAGTGGCGATTGGGTGCTGAGGAATTGTTAGCACAGTTGACGAATCGATTAACAAAAGTTGGTTGGGTATCACATGATTATCATAGTTAACACTTTGAATCGATGTGCAGAAGTTGATTGATAATCACATTGCTATCACGGTTAACATTTTGAGTTGAGCAAGATGATTAAGTATCACATTGCAAATACATAAAAACGATAACGATGGGGATGGGAACGTGAAATTCAACGTGATCAGTTCCAATCTAAGATCATGTGATAATTATAATTAATTGAAATAACATAAAAACTATAAAATATACCAAAAATATTACTACCCTTATTGATATATTTTTATTTGTTATAATTTAAATAATTGGTTAAAAGTACTAGAGACCCACTACTGTTCTCGCATTTGCTCAAAAGTCAAAACAAATGGGTTCTCGTTTGAGCTTATATATATATAGAGAGAGAGAGAGAGAGAGAGAGAGAGAGAAAAAACGATCAAATGCAAACCACTTCATTTGTACAAACCGTGTAAACCACCCTCATCTGTCGATTTCATTGTTTAATCTTGTGAATTTTTTTAATGAAATTGTTTAATCTTGTGAAATTGTTTCATATAATATTTTTTTTTTGATGAAGTTATTTCATATATGGTTATGAAATTGTTTCATATAATATTTAATGAAATTTTAATGAAACTGTTTCGTATATTTCTCTAAAATTAAAATAATGAAGATGATAATATTCATGATTAACACTCTTCACAATAAAAATTATTAATAAACCTCTTATAATTATATGAACAAAATGAAAAATTATCATTCGTTGAATGAAGTTTGCATGGTTTGTACAAATTGGATGGTTTGCATTTGATCGCTCATCTCTCTCTCTCTCTCTCTCTTTATATATATATATATATATATATATATAAGGGCTCATTCAAGGAAGAACTTAGTTATTTGTGATAACCGTGAGATCCAATCTCAACCACACAAATTAATAATCAATGGTTGAAAATAAAAGAAAAATTAATTACTGAAATTCCAAAAATAACTCTCCAATATTTAATGTGAGTATGTAAATAAGGATAAAAGGGTCAATTTTTTTTTAAATTTAATGAGACTATTTTGAGCGCCCTAGAAATCCGTTAATCTTCTAAAATTACATTTCATCAAATCAAAACAAAAAACACAAAAGATCTTGTTGGTTGTGCGAGAAGAGGTGGAAAACAATTTGTAGGCTTTGGTTGAACATGTTGTGTTACATTATGGTAAAAAAGATTGTGGTTTCATGTGTTACCCAAAAGATTGTGGTTTCAACAGAGATGTGAAGTTGCTGCATAAACACAAGAAAATAATCTAGTCAATGAGCATTCAAGTACACTTTGTGTAATATCTCAATCACATAGTAGCAAACCATATAAGATAACATCCAAACCACTAAACCCATGGTGAGAATTCTTTGGTAGCCTACAACCAAGAAATAAGTCATAATGGGCTACAAATTCCAATAGTTATTGATGCGGGACAAGGTGTTACAATATCAATAGTGTATTAGGTAAAACAAGATGTTGTGTTACATTGTGGTAGAAAAGATTGTGGTTTCATATGCTACCCAAAAGATTGTGGTTTCATGTGGTAATTTAAGAATGTAAAATCAAAATTAATTGGAAGTTTGAAACGCATGGAATTAATAAATAAATATTTAATCTAAATTTAGTAATTTACTAACATGCCCTTTTACATTAATTAAAAAAAATATTTAATATATTAAAATGATTGGTTGAGATTGGATCTCACGGTTACCACAAACAAAACAGTTCTCATTTGATTAAGCCATTATATATATATATATATATATACACACACACACACACACACACACACACTAGTGGTGTACCTGCGTGATGCAGCACAGGTGAATCACAATTATGAAATATTAGTTTAACTTTAAATCATGAGTTTGTATGTTTATTTTAGAAGTTAACTAATATATAAAGTTGAAGGCTAATATGATATATTAGTAAGATCGATTGAAAAAAATAATTGCACACATGTTGAGTTTCTAAACCCATATAAAGTTGAATGGTTGGGGTGGGGTACATGCAGGATCTGAAACCCTTTATGATATTGTTGCTTCAAATTTTAGTTTTACTTCAAGAGAAAGAAGAGCTTTGAATTTGAATTTGGGTTCAAAATAGAAAGCAAACAAAGTGTCAAACAATTTTTTTCTTTGTTTTTTTTCTTCTTTTCTCACCTTGCCTTTTTCTTGTGCTTTAACATTGAATTTTTTGAATTTTTGGCACATTGTGCTCTTTTTGTTGAAAGCATTCACACTGCTCTTATGAGACATTGTTTTTGTGCTTTAAACATGTCCAACTAAAGCATCTTTTTAGAGTTTTGCTCTTCTGCTTTGATGTTTTGGCCTTAGTGGATCATCCTCCCCCAAGCTTGAAATTTTGACAATGTCCTCATTGGCTACATGGGGTGTGTAGTGTATATAGATGGTACAAGTGGCTATTTGTGAGATATGAAGAAAGACTTATATCATTCCCCTCATGTAATTAGTGTGCGAGTCAAGTTGTGTAAAAAAAAATGGTTCTAGTTCTAGCAAGAACATATTTACTAGGTGAATAGCTAACAACCTCAGAATTATTTAGGCTATAAAATCAAAGACAACTATCATTGAACATGCAATCTTGTATAAAAATATATATTAAAAAATATGTATAAAATATGATGTGCGGTTTGATGGCTCAAAACTGTAAATTTTACCACATAGTGTGGTTTGATGAAAATCCAAACCGCAAACCTCACCACAAAAATTGTAAATTTTATTTTACAATACAATTTGAACAGTTTATACGGTTTAAATCATGGACGGACCTATAGTGGTGCATATGGTGGCACGTGCCACCGTATTATTTCTCCATTGAAGGGTAAAAAATTTTAGGTTTGTGAAAGGGGTAACTGTATTAATCTGTTGTGTGTCACCATATGTATTTTAAAACTCCAATGGGAACAGGTTTTATTTGATAAAATTAGTTTGCAAGGCTTTTAGTCCACCAAGTCCGAAGTTCGAATATTGTTAGTGTCATTTACTTAGTCAAATGTTGTCATCGTTTGAAAAAAAATCCGTATATTTGTTTCTTATAGTCAAATGGTACCACAATTTGAAATTTTTTCCATATAATTTTTTCTTATAGTCAAATGGTGCCACCATTTAAAAAAAATTATGGATCCATTCCCGGTTCAAATGAATCCCTATGATTAAATCCAATACAATTTTTAGAAGTAATAAAGCACGTGATATTTTTTAATGGCAAAAACGATCCTAGAACTTAAAAATAGATCTCTTTGTAGAAAAAAAATCTTGTATTTTGAAAAGTAAATACCTTTTGTTTTAGGTTGTCCACGGAAAATCTAAGGGGCTGTTTGACAGTTGCTGAATGATTTAGTTCAGAATAGTTAAGAGGTTAAAATGGTTAAGAGGATCAGAATGGTTAAGTGCTGAATGAAACAAAGTTGTTTGGTAATTGTTCTCTGAATGACAACAAATTACCATTTTAACCCTCAAGAAATACAATCAATTCTAAATGGATATATAGAAAAGATGTTGTTTTTTCATATCAGTATCAAATCCTCAAAGAGAAAGAAAGGCACCCATGACCTCAGATGAAGAAGCTGCTGCAGCTAAAGCAACTAAAATTGCTAGACATCAATCTGMAGTTCCTKCAGCCGACAKACTTGTGCTTAAAGCTTCAYGTCCTCAAGAAACTGATCTTCATCTCCTAGGTATTTCTTCTGAGGATGCGGCCAACTCAATTGCTCTTCAAAAGCAATTTGAGGAAGCCAACAGATCTCACTCCTT